GTCCCCTAATGGGAGATTGTTTTCTGTATAATTGCTCTGAGACTCAGTTTTAAAAACTGTCTGGTCTATAGCTGTCCATTCACTTTGATGTGGGTGCTAGGCTATCTATTACAGTGTTATATGGACACGAACTGGGGGGTGACTTTTACTCCATCTAGTCCTCACTGAAAAAGCTGAGGCACAGTGTGGCCTGTGAGTGTTTGAACAGTGGCATGGTTTTTATTCTCTTGGTTCTCTACTCCAGTATATTGGATGTGAAGTAAAATAATAGCTATGAGGTTAAAGTGTTGACTTCCAGCTTTAAGGGTGCTCAGGGCTGTTTACATCTGTAGTGAGTTAGCAGTGAAGGATCTGTCTGAAAAATGTAGCAAGAAAATGATCCTCTACATGTAGAGTTTTAAGGACCAAAACAATGCAATGAGCATGACTCGCTTCGGTAGTGTGTGCTACACTCGACTGAAAGCTAAAACAGCAATCAGTGTTATCGCGGCGCTTCTGCTCTGTGTGGCGTCAGCAAACAGATTTCTACTCATGATCGTTTTGAACATAATCTGTGGCCTGACTGTCGTAGCGGTCACAAATATTTTAGTTTGGCCAAAGTTCCTATGAATACACCTTAGAAAGATCAATGCAACTAATTGTGAATTAATGCCATGAGTCTAGATTTCAGTGCAGTAGTTTCTGTCTGTCCAAAACACATGGTGGGTGAGCATCAGTCATGTATGTAGAGGGATCGATACAGATGGGCCAGTCAGCCTTGATGCATGTGTTTGCCCCAGTGACCACCTGTCAACCATAAAAATACTAATAAATCAGTGTGCTTTTTAATTTGCAGAACTCTTCTAGAGCCTTTAGGAGCTATTTATTTATTTTTTAATTTATTTCTATGTGTATGACGTCATCCCAAAATGAATGTTCCGATCTAAGTTAGACCCAGGAAGCATGTTCAGCTGGAGAACAACAACTGAGCATGTGCAGTGCTCTTCACAACGAAGAGGCAAACCAGGGAGTAAGACAGTTTTTTGGGTTGTTGCTTTAGGGAAGCAATGTTTACTCAGATGATTGGGCACCATCTCAGGGAGCAGTTTTCCAGGTCTTAAAAGATATTTAGCTTGACATGACAGGCAGTGAAAGAGTGGCTGAATATTTTACCTTGCCACACAGTCGCTGCAAAAACTGTCTCTGTTTTAGGAAATTAGCCTTTGTATTGATAAAATGTTTTGTCTCCACACGTCAAAAGACACGTTTCCCCCTCAGTCACGTTTTGCAGAGACAGTCACAGCATCCTTGACTTAGCCCCACCCAAGACGATCATGATCGGTTCAAGGAAACACAAACAGGTCAGGGCCTTTTTTCCCCCTACAGCAGAATGATATTGAAGGGCAGTCAACCATCTGTGTATTGCATCCCTTCCTACTGTCCGTGGTCTTCTTTTCATGTTTGGATGATTCTTGTATTGGCTGCTTAAATCTTTTACTTGTTCGTTTATTTATTTTTATTTAACAAACCAGTGTTAATTCAAGAGTTGCTTTCTTATACATAGGTCATGATCTGTATTTATTAGCTGACATTATGACACAAAACGTGTAATTTTACTTAAAGGTTAAATCAAGATTATGTAGTAGGTCAAAGATCACAATCATTCAAACCACAATCAATGTGTCACGACCATCTGCCATGCAGTTGGAGCATTTCTCGTGGTTGTGTGCGTTATTTTTTATTTTTTTTAGCTTTTCCAATTTTCTTACTTACAGTATCAACTAAATGTCCTTCAGAAGTGTTTCTCCATTTAAGGCATTAATAACTGTAATTTCAAACAAGCTGCAAAGCTCGGCTTTAGTTATGTTTGAGTGCATTCTCTCCTGCTCTGGGGTTGCTTCATTTCACATGCATGAAATTTGCTTCAATGCCCAGGCCCAGTGTGCATACATTATTCAGTAAGAGAGATTAATGTTGCTGATAGTTTTGTAGAACGTTTCTTTGTAGGACGCAGTAACACCAGGAAACATCTTAAGTTCTGTGTGTGGTCAATAAAATATGATTTTCACAGCATGAGAGACAATTTGACAAAATCATTTGCCCTTTAAGGAAGCAAACACAGGCAATGTTTAACTAACCGTGCAGCCATGCATTGACTAAGAACATTCATTATTGCTTTGGACGATGAGGTTTCAAAGAGCTGAAGCCTTCGGAGATCTGTGCTGAATATCAATGGCCACTCGAGGAGTTAGGATTGAGGCAACACAAATAAGATGGCAGCAATCCACTTTGTTTTTCTATTTTCTGAGGTGTATTTCACACTTAATTGGCTGGCTATGAGAGCATGCCTGTGAGCCAGACCTTAGGTTGTGTGGGGCTTTCCAGACATTCATATTATAGATATCTTTCTTTTGACTGGCTTAATTTCCCAAGGTGCATGGCTGCAGTTTGCCTTCCATAAATCCCTTTTCCTGCCAGGGTCTGAGGTAGGATTTTCAGGCTGTCTTTTGCAAGTCTATTTACAGCAATGGACTCTCCAAATGGACTCGAATGTGTTGCATTTGAAAATGGAGATGGGTCTACAGTGGGACTAAAGTATCTTCTCTGTACAACAAAACCTTTCAACATCTCATTCAGGAATGATGGATACTGCAGTGTAATCGCCTCCCTTTTTTTTCTCCCCCAAGTAAGACTAAGATTTTTCCCTCAGGAAATCAATGACTGCAGCTTTTCTCTGAGCATTTCCAAAACGTTTGCTCCTTTGAAAATCTTCTTTAATACAGAACTTGGGATACACCGCTATCCTGCCTTTTTAAAAATGTTTTTCTCTGCAGTCCCTTTAATTTATCCCTAATATAATTTGATCTAATTATCCCTGCTGGTAGCTCATCACAACAAAAGCACAACAAATGTCTTCTTTGAACTAATCGTGACCTATTGGACATTCTGTCAGGCCTTCAGCAGCTTCCTCATCAAGTCAAATTATTTTGAACTACTTATTTCCCCAAAATGTGCATACACAACATGGCATGTTTTAATTTGTTCATTACACCCATATATGATAAATAACTGATTTACGTGGTGATAACTTTACAAAATTGTGGGTTATTAAAGGGTAACTACACCAGCAAATTCTAGCACACCGATGAGTGATGGACCAGTGACTGTAGGAGGTGAGGATTGTGACGCAGGAGGTCAGGGGGCACAAGGGAGACCTCTTCTTAGGGTGTGGAGCTGGTAGTTAAAGCTAACTATCCATGAAAGGCTACTGTCAGACTCCTCTGGAAAGACAGGAAGTCTGCTGGAGCTTGGACTGTCACTAAAAGGCACATTTATGGCCCTTTGAGAAAGTCACCTTGGCTGCTTGTGCTGCAGGTGTACTAGCAGCTCTCCTGCTAGTTGCATGTGTGGCTCTGTGAGAGCTTGTCAGTAGCCTGTTTGTCATGGTTAAGTTTGTGATAGACCTCAGTGCCGTGCCGATTTTGTCACAGCTGCCCAGGTGCCATGGAGTTTGGCTGAGCTGGATTTTACAATCAAAGCAACAACAAAGTTTTTTTAAGCACATACTATTTTTATTATTAAAAAAACAAAACATGTTTTAGCAGCATATGCAACAAGAATCAGTATGAATGTGTGTGTAGAACAAAAACAGTGTGTGTAGATCCTTTTTAATCTGTACAAAAACCAAAGTGTAAAAATGACAGGTTGTGGTTTTACATGGGTTTATGTGCCAGTCTGTATCTTGGCAGGCTGTGCTAAAGTGCTGGAATCGCCACTGTTTGCTTGAAAACTTCAAAAAGTTGCTGCTCAGGGCCAAGAAGCAGTGTGACATGTGGGGTGCCCGTTGCTTCGGGGTAAAGATGCACATGGTGACCCACAACATCCTCGGTTTAAGTATAGTAAAAAAGGTTCTGTAAAAAAGCAGTAGGTAGAAGAAATAGTTTGGCAGGTAGTCACATGCATCTGTTTCCTTTAAACCCTCTGACCCTCAAGACATTGTTTGGGCATTTTTAGGATCTCCTGTCACATTTACAATATGAAGTCTTCCACCTCTATGGAAACAACACAGCCATTGGCTAGAAGTAGAGAGAACTCAAAAATACTTCTGCGTAGTATATTAATATTATTAATATTATATTATATTAATATTATTACATTATAAGTTATAATGCCAAAAATCATAAAAAAGGATATTTGAACTTCTACAGTTGTTTAGTTAAAAACAAACAAACAAACAAAAAAACTGGAATCAAAATGTAAAATATTAATATATAAGTCTTCACATGTGTTACTTATATAGGAAGAAATATTGTGGTTAAGTAGAATGACTACTACCTACTTTAATTTGTACAAAGAAGGCACATGAATGCTTTGTCATGTGACTGCTGTGGTATTCGGTTTATAGTTTGTACAGGATCTGCTACAAACTGGTAATTTTTTTTAGTTTTTTTATAACGTGGAATTTGTGATTTTGATGAAATGTCCCAATTTTAGTTTTCCAGATCAAGGTGGATGTCATGGGCGATTAATTCAAGCACCATTGGAACAAAATATTCAACTATTTTTGATGGTGTAATTTTGTCGATTTTAAAAAGGGGAAAAAAATAAAATAAAAAGAAAGAGTGTCTTTCAAACCCAAGTTTCTGGGTTCAGAGTGTTAAAGACAACTGGTGCAGTTTACCTGTGCTGTGCCATAAAAAAGGATGTTACATTGACATAGGCTTGAATTTTAAAAAATGAATCATTCAGATTTATACATTTACACTGGAGACGTGCCCGAGGCGAGCCCTGTTTCTTGCCCAGCTGGGTTAAGCTCCAGGTCCCATGACCCCTCACAGAGCTGGCACAGCCTCTGAATGGAGTTATTTTATTATTTTTTTTAAATGTGCGTCATCTCTTAGTCACGAGTTCCTTTGATGTTTAATTACAATGTAGGATTTTGCTGTTTATTCTTCAGCTCATTAATTACAAATAGGTTTTAATACCGCTGATGTCTTATTCTTATGCATCTGTGTCTTCAGAATTCCAGTGGGTTCAAGGAGATGTTTGTGAAGTGCAGCTGATGGTCTACAACCCCATGCCTTATGAACTTCGCGTGGAGAACATGGTGGGTTTCAATTTATTGCATCTAAACGTCAACTGTGATGTGTTTTGAAGGGAGACTTCAATGATAAGTCTAAATATGAAACCAGGGCTTTGTTAAAACAGGAGGCTGCTGACACGGTTCTCTTGCGGCAGTAAAACAAACATGTACCCTCCTAACAATTGCAACTTGACAAGTGATGGTGGTTTGTAGGCATTCTTGATTGCCTAATTAAGGTACCTTAAAAGCCTTTTTGACAGTTTAATACCATAATGATTGTATAAAATGGTGAGAAAAAATATCTCCACACTCCATGACAGTAACAAAACATCACCAGCAAGAAACACCCTCCTCGTAGTTTTATTCATTTCAGCACTTCACACACCATCCTGTCAGAGCAGATGGATTCTATACTGAGTTAACGCAGGACCATTCACTCTTCTTTTCTGTGTAAAATAAAATTTTAAAAGAGCCATCAGACACCAGGAAATCCAATTTAACCATATTGTTTAACGACTGCTTGGTGAGTGCAGCTTTTTTATTTTCAGAACTGAACATTTCCTTATTAAAGGACCTTCAGCTGAAACGTAGACCTGCAGTTCTGTGACATCCATTTCTAATTTATGTACTTTGTCACTCCCTTACCACTCCTTTTCAAACGCATACACATGCACACCAGTTGAGCCACTTTATCGGGTTCAAGGGTGCAAAATATTACCAAATAAATTGCTTTTCTTCCTGCTTACTGCTGTGTCTGTTTATGAATGGCGTGATGTGGGACAAGCTTGAAATGCAAAGCAATCATGAGGCTCAATAAAAAGGCCAGCAGGGAAAAGCCTGCTTTTAGCCGTTAGATAGCAGTCACACACAGGATTGCACACAATGTGCCACCTGTCAACAGTGATGTTTCCCTTAATTATTTGGAAAGTCGAGAACAAATTACCGTGAAAGTTTTGTGACAGAGTGTGAGCAGAGACAGTGGCCTCTTAATTGTGGTGGCTGTCTCAGAAGCGGTGCCAAATAGACTTGGACAGGTCTTGCTGGTTGATTTAGCTGCCCTGCGTCGTCTGATAACGGCACATGCTGTTACAGACACAGGAAATGCAGGCGACCTCCAGTTCAGAACATCTGGGAAGTGTTTAAACCGGAGGAATAATCACCAGTCAGCTGCCTCTGAATTTGCATTTCTGTGCATTAAAGCTCAAGTGAGACAAATTTCTATCTGATTAATGCCATCTCACTCCATGACCAAGTGCAGCTGTAACAGAGAAAGTGCTTTCATCCCTCCAGGTATAAAATAATTTTCCAAAACAACAGGAAATGACTTCTCGGAAAGCCGAAAATTAGAAACATCAAGTTTTTGTAGTCGCAGTCACTTTGATTTTGTCTTTGATTATCGTTTTTACTTACATTTGTGCAGAAATGAGTTGCTGATAAATTTATCAGCTCAACAGTCATGTTGTTCTGCATCCTTGTTTGCATTACTCATTACTCACAAGAAAAAAGCAAAACTGCTTGTCACATATTTATACTACGGTAAACGTGTTATAAAGACAGATCAAACTTATGCAAATTAATTTTTTTACTATTTTTTTTTTCACCCATTTTCACACTCCTGCTTCTTAGTTGAATAAGTCACAAAGTCTCATCTGTTATCGAGCATAACTCATTAAAATAAACACCTTTCTAATAATACTAGTTGTTTCTCTGTGCAACAACCTGTTGAGTGATATTACAGTGAAGTATTCCAACTATAATGCAGATTTGCCAAACAGGAATTGAAGATCAAATCAGATCAGGGTGGTGACCATTACCATGCTTCTGCCTGGAGCATCAGTAGCTGCCCTTGAGGCTAACATTAGCTACGAATGTTAAAATTGTTGAAATCTCACATTTGCAAATCTTGTAGCGTGTACATGTCTGAGTTAAGAGTGAAGAATATCTGGAAAGTTGTGTCAGAAAAGTTCAAGGACTGGTGTCACAAATGATATATTTCAAATCCAGACTACCAACTACAAGTTTTCCCCTTTGAAGTAATCCCCCTGGAGTCTAGCACACTTTCCCAGCCTTCTCTGCCTTCACGCCGCCATGCACTCCTGGAAAGATTCTTTAGGGATCCTCCGCACCTCCGTCGTCACAGCCATCTTGATGTCGTCCACGTCTTCAAAACGGGTCCCCTTGATGACCCCCTTGAGCTTGGGGAAGAGGAATAAATCCCACAGAGCCAGGTGGGGTGAGTAGGGAGGTTGCTCCAGCACGGAGATGTTCTTCTCAGCCAGGAACTGTACTCAGGGCATTGTGAGCAGGAACGCTGTCATGATGAAGCAGCCACGACTTGTCCTGCCACAACTCTGGCCTCTTCTCGCGCACTGAATGAAGCAAACGCCGCAGGATCTCTTAATCTGTAGACGTGCTGGTTGATCGTCTGAAGGGGAAAACTCGTAGTTGGTAGTTTGGGTTTGAAGTATGTCTTTTGTGACACCAGTCCTGGAACTTTTCTGACACAACTCGTATGTGATGCAACCAGATTTCAAGGTCCTGTGGTGTAAGCCTAACATGCAAATACAAAAACACCCCAAAACCAAAATGAAAAAACATTAATTGATTTCTAAAATAATGATTACTTCATGAAAGTAGCATGAATATTGCTGGAGTCTACTTTGATTTCGTCAGAATGGCCGGTCACATTTTGAAGTTACACCCAAAACGACACCACTATCACAAAAGAAACAACTATAGTTTAATAATAAAGGTTTTTAGTGTACATCAAAAACTGTGCAGTTACCTTTTGCATCAGCATTATTTGAGTAATTTGGTCCAATGGGGCCTTAAGGAGCCATAATGTTCTGTGGCCAGGAAAAAGTTTTCAAGGGTTCCCAGTTTAATATATGGAGATGCCAGTTTCCCAGCTTTTTGCACGCTGAAACAATCAAGCAGACAAGGTCAGATAGTAATAATGAGGCCATCAACCCCTCCCACCTACAGGTGAATTGATCAGGTCTCAGATGGAGGTTGAAGCCCTTTACATCTCACAGCAGCTGGGAGCCTCAGGCGGTGTTGTAGAGTCCCGCAGGTAGAGACAGACCGGATGATGCAAGCTGCCAACAGCTCCACTGTACCACAGACAAAGTGGCTGCCAGTCGACCGCAGCAACCATCTATCCGCTGCACACGAAACACACGGGCAAACAAACACAAGGTTCCTTCTTCTGTCACCAAGGTGACCCTGCAGTTTGGCAAGACAGACACTCCTTCTCAGTCACCACACGACTTCAGTGCTAATACCCAGCTTTGCTTTGTGCTTCATTGATTTTCTATTAAAGTGGTGCTTTTTTTTTTTGCGACAACCTCAACCTCTACTGTTACATTCTCAGATGGGTCACTGTCAGATTCCTCTGTCATCCTTGCCAGAAGACATGTTTTGGCTATTTATTTACTTTCTCTCAGAATAGCAAATGATGTATTTTGTTTCGTCTTTCATTCACTCGACTTAGGTCAGCCAAGATATGTGCAGTAAATTTGGATTGATTATTTACTTCTAAAATGAGAGAAGAAAATAAAATCCATCACGACCGATTTATGATTTTGAAACGTCTTGAGAATCTGTGTTAACGTTGTTTGGCTTTCTCTGCACGCTTCCATCGGCCGTGCAGTTCTGTGCCAGGACAAAGAAATCATAAATAATAATCATACCATTATGGGATTAGTTAAAACAAAAGGTTAACTGCACACTGTCAGCAGAATGAAGTCAATGCACACAAGCTAATACCGTGCAATTCACTTTGCACATGCTTTAATCGTTATTGTTAGTGAAACAAGCTAATTAACCTTTTCAAGGCAGAATGCAAATGAAGTGTTTCCAATAGGTTAACACTGATACTTCTGCTGTCCAATAAAGGCATGTAATGTCCTAAAGTGAAAGCAAGGAGCGCTTAAATCACAGCAGTGGCACCTCGGAGGCTCAGCTCTTCGGCAGCCTTCTCTCTAGTGAGGTAGTGTCTGCTGTTTGGGATTGATGCAGTCATTACGTCACCTCAGTCTGCACAAGGCAGTGTACTGGGAATGTAAATACAGTTATTCTGAGGGGGCATGATTACGTGTTTAAAGAAGACTTTAAAGCCACACGCAGGATTTTCTGCCTGCAGATGAAGCTTAGATGATATAACTTGTTTTTGCCCCTGCAGCCAGTTTGACACATGCTGGGTTTTTTTTTTTTTTCAGTTGTATTCACTGATAAAGCATTTTTTTTTTAATATCACAAGCTAGTGCAGATCACATAGTTGATGTCACAGCCTCTAACAACCACCACATTTTGGCAGGCAGGAACTGCAATAATGTCTGTCCTGATACATAAAGTTGTCTGATCAATGAATATTTGCACACTGAAAAAAACAAAACTGCACTATCTTATGAAGTATGACATTCAGGGTTAAATTTCTCACCCTTTTTCTGCGATGAACATCAGCAATTAAAGCTGAAGTGTTGGAGAAGAACACTATATAGGAAGCAGCTATTTTCTTCACTCAACTTGAAGTTCACAGAGTTTACAAGACTTTGCAGTGATCGTGTTAGAAATGATGAGTTCCCTGCTTTTTTTTTTTTCCAGCTACAGTGTGACTCTCATTTAGCACCTTGACCCAGAATAAAATATCTCAACAGCTGAGTGGATTGAAGCTACAGACAGTCAAGGTTTCTAGAGTTTCAAGTTTTGATGAGTTTAATCAGCATCGTCAGGTCAAAATCTGAATTTGTTCATCAACAATAGCCACAGCTATTGACATTGCCTTCACCATGAAATAATTGCCAGAAAATCTTTTTTTTTTTTTTTGAAATTGGGTTTTTTTTTGACCTTTTTGCCGACTTAAAAAAAAAAGGTTTAAAAGGCATTTTTCTTTGGTTTTTATTTTTTTTTTTTTTTGCTCTTTCTTTTTTTTTTGTTGCCTTATTTATTTATGTTTGGTTGTTTTTGCTTTGACTGTGTGTGTTTGTTTGTATGCGTCCGTGTGTTTGATTGGCTGGTTGTCTGTGCTGTGTGTTGCCTTCGTTCTCCGTCGGTTGGGTTGGATTGCCTCCCGCCCGCGTGCGTCCTTAGTGTTGATTGGTGTGTGTATAGTTGTTGGATGGATGGATGTATGTATGTATTAGGTTTTTCAGGCAAAAAAAGGTCTCACTGATAATGTAGAGGTCTCAAAAACTGATGTATGAGATATGATACACTTGGTGTTACAGGGTTAAGCTGTAGTTTGTGCTTAGTGCTAATGTTGGAACCCTTCCAGCCTTACTGTCTCTAAGAGAGTTACAATTCAATTAAACTCAGTTTTATTTGTATAGCGCAATTTACAACATATGTCATCACATAGTGCTTAACATGGTAATATATATAGACCTTACAAATGTAAACAGAGAACCCAACAATCCTAAGTTGCCTTTGGACTCCCTCTGAGCAAACGGTTGACAACGATGGGAAGGAACCAAAAACGTTGCTAAACATCAGCAGCAACACTGACACTGTGAGCGGTTTACAATGCAAAAGAGGTGTTGCTTAGTACAAAATAACAGAGCTGCTTGGTGGGTTGTAGACTCTCAGGCCTGTATTTTACAAACACATGCAGGTATTTTTTTTTAAAACAGGATTTTTCCCTCTTTTCTTCCTCCCGAAAAAATCTATGTCCACGTGAAAACACAGACATACGTCAAGGGCACGGTTGATAGTGCGCCAAACTAACAGGTAGTGATATAATGCAACCTAACCCTGAAGCCATGGTGGCAATGAAAAAGCTGAAAAAAAAAAAAACTACCAACAATAATCCAAGGAGCTTTAGTAGAAATCAACTGTACTTCTCTAAAAGTGACATCCAATTGATTTGTATTGAAGCTTCTAGGATTCCCATGACCTGGATGACTGAGAATCTACACAGACTACCAGTAAAAGCACATCGAGGAGGAGGGATGTCATGAGTGTGGAAAGATTCTAGCACATTAATTCCTCAATATAGTGGAAAAAAAACTGTATATATATATTTATATGACATGAAATTTGATTGAAGCGCTCCAGTTTGAGTTACGACTCCATGAATCTGAGGGTTCATCAAACGCCACAAGAGTGTTTTAGAATACTCTGAGGCTGAATCCTTTAAGTTTTTGAAATATTATTTTATATTTTTTCCAGATCTATCTTGAGATAAACGGTAAAAATACTATTTTCAGGTTAAAAAACAATCCACAGGGAATTTGCAGTTGTTTTTTTCCCCTCAGAAATGGGATATCATCAAAAGCAGAGTCAGGTTGAACATTTTTAACAGGACCAGCCTGCGTTTTAATGCTGGAGCTACATTAGCATCACCGCTGCACTGATAAGGGCCTTAGTGTTATTAAACAGTAGTGTGTTTGAGAAATGGCATTAGGATTTGTTGAACAATGTGTGAGTCGTGCAGTAAGCATACTAATCGAGAAGTACATTCAACTAAAGTTACAATAACAGCTCCGTGTGGGCATTGCTGCCGTCGCTGGGATGGTAAATTTGTCACATGCTTATCTTTCTGCGTAGCATCATAGAGCTCTGATAAGACCCTGTTTAATTACTGTTTCATAAAATCACTGACTTTGCTAGTGCTGTTAATATATTGGTTTTGCATCCTAATATGGTGCTTTATAGTCGATAGCTATGTAACCACTTACTATTATTTAAAATTCTTTAACTGAGCTCCGTCAGGATTTTGCTTTTTTTTTT